CAAACACACACACACGCACACACACAAATAATACAAAATGATAGTGTAACAAAATATACAAATTCTGATTATAAATTGTGGCAATGTTGTGATGATAGAGGTATAAATAATAAAGTTTACTAATGATGATATAACTATCAGCACTTTGATGATAATAGAGAAATAAAAAAAATTAATTACCATCATCATCACCATCATCGCCATCACCTTTATCATCATCATAATCATCATCACCGTTGCGTCATCATCATCGCCATCAGCTTCATCATCATCATCATTATCATCACCACCTTCTTCATCTCCACCATCGTCATCACTGTCGTCATCATCATCATCACCACTATCACCGTCGTCGTCATCATTATCAAAACTCACGGAATGACCATGAACGATGTTGATGTCCTCCCTGATGATGATGTTTCTAAAGAGTGGGATGTTGCAGAAGATGGTCGGCAGTATGCACTGGTTGTACACCGGTAGAACAGGTAGGTAGTACACCTGGATCACGTGCACGTTATTATTATTAGTTGTAGTAGTAGTAGTTGTTGTAGTAGTAGTAGTAGTTGTAGTAGTAGTAGCAGTAGTAGTAGTAGTAGTAGTAATCTCGCCTTAAAAAAGATAGAAACCTCACTCAAAGTCTGAAACACTGACAATGAAGATTGATAGAAAAAAGTTAAGGACCCAACAAAAATAATTTTTTATGATGTGAATAAATAGATGTTTAAGAGACTCAAAGTCACATTAACGCCTCTATATATTTGGAAAAGTTCCTTAAAAAAGCTCTATATAGAAGCTTAGAAAGAGAGAGATAGAAAAAAGAGAGAGAGAAAGAGAGAGAGAGATAGAAAGAAAGAGAGAGAGAAAGGAAAGAGAGTAATGATAATGACACATGATACCTTAAGCCCATTGGTCATAATACGAACGCCACTTCTGTCACCATAAGCATGGGTCACAATAATCACCTTTATAAATATAAATACGTGCATACATTAAAAAAAATTTGAACTATGTCATATTAAGGTTGTCTAAATTCACGTAATTAACCGTTTGATAGCAGGTTTGTTTGTTAGCATCAAGGTATCATTAATGTAGATACTGTATACTATGTAAATGATATTCAGTACCAATGCTTTTGAGCGTCAATGATTATTTCAATTTTCAAAGTTTAGAGCGTTTTCTTAGTGATAAATTCGAGATTCAAAATTAAGATTTGCCATCTTTTACGTGTTTTTCCCCGATGATTCAAACAACTTATCGTTATGAGGTCATATTCATGTTTGTATATTAACTAGCTAATGCATTAGTATGGATGAAATTTCAGTTGTTTTCCCGTAATAAAATTAAAAAAATACTAAAGTATCGTCGGTATTGCCGGCAGCACTTTTAAAAACAAGTATTGGTATTGGAACCGACGATACACTTTAAGGCCGGTATCAGTATCGGCAATATAATATTTGAGCATCATTGGCAAACCTGTTGATTAAACACACATGCACCTACACACACATTATTCAAAAAAATATTAAAAAAAACTTTGTGCCCAAGGTCCATGAGGCATTGAGATAGCTGGTAAATGTGACTTTCTACACCCCCAATGTTAGGGTAGAAAAAATCTGAAACCATACTGCGTGTATATATGTGCGTGTGTATGAGTGTGTATGTGTGTGCGTGTGTGTATATTTGTAATAGTACTTTTTGTTAAATTAAAATCCATAATGATATATAATTTATCAGTGTATACTGTATGTAATGTAGTTGCTTGATTTTAAAATTAAATTAAATAAAGTTAAACTTAAAGTAAAATCAAAAGTTCAAAGTTTTTTTAGTCTTTAGTTTAGTACCAATACTATTATAATACTTCTACTGCTACTACTACTGCAGTACTGTTACTATTATACTTCTACTACTAATAATAACTTAATAAGTTATATTTATAATATACTATAATTATAATAATATAATATATATATAATATAATATAAATAATATTATTAAATAAATAAATTTAAACACAAAAACAGACCAGATATTGTGGATCATTTTTTGGGAGGTTTTTTTATATGATGATATGTATATTTTTATATTGATTGATTGAACATTGAAGTATCTGCACTCCACTCTACTCCAACTGCAGTACAACTACAATGTGAATGTGATGTTAGTAGAAAAAGATTAAATCAAATGTTAAGTCGTATTTTAAATAGAAGTTGTTTACCAAAAGCGCACTTTTTAGATCAAGTTTAGTACAAATAAAAAGAATTATCTTAATAAATCTAATAATTTGGACAAACTTAATAAAAAATTCTGTTTACATATTAAAAGTAGATTTAAATTAATCAAAAGTAAACTTAAGTTAAAAATACCAGCATTTATTTTTAAGATCTTAACTATACATATAGCGACAATCCCGATGATTTTATTCGTATAACTATAAATTTCAACTCCACGGTCTGTTTGAATTATTAAAATGGTTAACAATTAATACAATATTTAAAAATTAATGTTTAATTACGTTAATGTAATCGTAGGAAATACTCATTTTTGCACTATTCAAGGATTTGTATTGCTTATAGATGAGGATTCGCAGATCAATGAACAGTGTTGGGCAAGATTTGAAATCATGATTTTCAATAATTAAGATCGAAACCTTGTATGAAACCAGTTTGAGTATGGAAGAATAAATCCATCACTGGTTGAATCTTGTTGTCTAAAAAGAATTTTTATAAAAACTACACACGCCCATATCACATCACATGACCTTTCGGGAGTTCCAATAAGTACCCTCTTACGTAATTATTGTCTGCTTAAAGATTAAACTCCCATTGAAAACTCAGGAAATTGTTAAGCACTTGAGCGTAATTTTCTAGAACTTAAAAATTTCAAGTGGCTTCGCCACACACCCATACACAATTACCTCACTCACACACACACACACACACTCACACACACATAAATACACACACACGTTTACACACACATACACAAACCCGTACGTGCAATCATTAATAAAAATGTAAACTACCCAATATTTCCAATGAGATCTTCAAAAATAAATAAGAAAATGAATAAATGACACAAACCCATGTAAATTAAGCGGTAAAATTACACAAACACTTAAGCAAAAAATTCCACAAGCAATAAAAATATTGAATTGCATACTTGTAAATCAAATTTCACATCCTCAGCTACGTTCATTCATTAATTACTGATCTGATACCTGATACATTTCATTTCAGAACATTTTTTCTCGAATTTCGTGTTCACAAAGATAGATAAAACGACAAAGAGTTACAAATTAAAACATAATGGCAAAATATTTAGGTACATTTATCCAAGTTTGTTAACCGATTCATAGGAAATCTGGCCAAAAACAATTCCTCAAAAATATCACCTTCAGGTTTATCCGCTAAGTTGTTATCTGGCTGTTCGTCAGATTTTTTTCCATACCATCATCAAACAACAAACCATAACGCGAATGCATAATATCAACAATAATACACACACACAATCACACTTATACACACACCAATAAACAATACACAGACGTTAATATAAATACAAGTAAATATATACATAATTATATATATTTATATACTACATATATATAGTATATATATATATATATATATATATATATATGAATTATGTATCTGTAAATATTTGTACATATGAATATTAATTTATCCTAAATGTAAGAATACAAACGGATGTTGCTTTTCAGAGTAGAACTTGCATCATTCATCGGTGCAAAATCTAGTTTTGGTCGGTACGGAATGTAGTAACACGAGGGAAATTTTCCTTCATTATCATCACATCTTCAACATCATCTTCATTACCAAATTGTTAACATCATTGTCATCACATTTTCAACATCATCTTCACATTTTTCAACATCGTCGTCGTCACATTTTCAAATCATCTTCATCATCAAACTGTCAACAGCACCATCGTCTCAAATCCATCGTCATCATATCACCACCATCATTTACATTACAAATAATCACTTATAATTACATCAGTTACATTTACGAAAGATGCCACACTAAGACAGTAACATTAATAATAGTGCAGCAGTTACACTTAAGACCACAGTGCCTCAAAAAATTAGTATTACAGAGGGAAAGAGAGAGAGAGAGAGAGAGAGAGAGAGAGAGAGAGAGAGAAAGAAAGAGAGGGAGAGAGAGAGAAAGAAAGAGAAGGAGAGGAGAGAACAATCACACACACATAGATCTGAACCGCCTTTTGAACTGCTCTCTTTACGTTCTAACTTTCTAAACCTACATCACATCACCACCATCACGCCATCTTGCAACCTTGCATCATTCAAACATTATATAACTATATTACACTATATAACATTTATATATATCTATATGATATTATAAAAGACGTAATAATATTATATAATATATATATATAAGCATATATGTTTATAGTTTATTTCGTTAGTTAACTCAAAGTTTTTTATGGGTAGGAAAAAGATCTTTTTCTTTATTTTTGTCTGTAACTTTTTATTTTTTTGTGTTATTTCAAGGTTTTCCACTGTCACATTGCTACTACATCTCAATTTCTTTTTAAATGTTTTCGATATTTTGTTATTTAAATTTATTAAAAACAACAAATGCGTATCTAAAATGTTAGCCATAAGATTGATTAATGAGATTAAGAATGCATGAACGAACGAACGAACGAACGAACGAACGAACGAACGAACGAACGAATGTGTGAGTGCATTTGTCTTACAATTTTATTAAAAAAAGGTCAAAAAAAGAAGCTAATTCATTTTGTAATCTAAATATAGGAGAGAAGTGCTGAAAATAGGCAGAGGTTACTCGTGCCATCGAACCAGCTAAATATCGAATGTTCGTTCTAAAATAATTGTGTGTGTATTTTTAAAGAAACAAAATACACATACAAGTACAAAAACGCGTACAAATACAAATACACATATACAGGGCGTTTGTTGGACATTTCATTTTAACATTCGCTGATTGGCTGGTTGTTGGATGCTTGGTGCAGCTGCTGAAGCAGCGATCTCCTCCGACACGTCAACAATTCATTCAGTTTTCATTCATTCTTTCATTCAGCTGTCTCTCCTTAACGCCTACATCCATTTAATACACTAATTTTAAACACTTTCAGATCATGAAAATTATTATTTTTAGAAACAGACTAATTTAAAAAAAATTTATTTACGCATCAATCTTTTATTATTTTTTGGTTTATTAATTCATTTCGTCATCTTGCTTGCATGATAATTTAGCAGCAGTTGAAGTTGCATTCGCTGCAGCACGCAACGACAATCAGATGTTCTAGCTTCGCCGTGCATGCATGCAATCGGGTGACAGCAACATGGAAATGTGCATTCAGGGCTCTTCTGTCTTGTTATTTCCATGTTTCCATGTGTCAGACATTATAGCCCTACACTTCGTGCGTTGTTGGGCAAATGAATGAGACAAAATTAAAATACCGTTCTGACATCTCGTTTGATTCATTTAAAAGTTAAAATAAAATTAAGATGGATGGTGTTGGCTTCTAGTGTTTCTCTCGCTCTGACAAGATGTTTCAACTTTAAAACGTTATAGCTCGCTTGGATTTTAAAGAATTAAATTGACTAACCAGACTTAAAACAACCACTGTGGATTATTTATCACTAATTTCTGTTCTCAATTAAATAATAATTGCAACTTTTAACGAAAAATATTGAAGCTAAGTAGTGTCGCGTTCATAGAAACCTGATTCACGAACTCGTGTACATGAGCGGGCTGTTGGACGTCATAACCTGCTGCAGAAGGGTTAGTTATTTAATTTAATTCATTTATTTCCTTCATTCTGCAATCACGTAATAACTAAATGTCAATGCTTTGTGATTCCTTTTAGAAATTATCATCATAAAAACTCTGTTACAGACATACATTAAGTGACATTTTTTAAAAAATCCTTCATTCTGTAAAACTCCCGTTAACTAGGTAACGTGCTGATACTCCGCCGTACTTCACAGATTGCATTGAAATTTATTAGTTGTCAATTCAAAATTATCGTTGAACTTGTCAAGTGGTTTGAAGTTATGACATCATGAATTTTTCACATGAAGATGAATAGATATTAAACACAACCGCATGATCTACTCACACGCAAGCAGACAGGTATCTGTATACGCGTATAAGACGAACACACACACGCTTTCATACACAAAACACACACACACATGATTCCTAACATCTAAAAGACATAACCAGAAACAGAAAAACGAAGAGATAATTCATTCAACCTTTTCTTCCGTCAGTTCGAAGCAAGCTAAATAACGTAGTATTCATATGACGCAATTTCTGAAAACGTCGAAAAAAAATTGTTTTCCATGAACGAACCTAGTGATCTATCTGGAATCAATGTGAACTTTTCTAGATCATAGATGAATTTCTCCAACGTGTTAAGTTCGTATTGAAAACAAGCAACAAAAACACGCATTGATATGATTGATAAACAAACAAACACATATTTAAAATAGTTTTGTATTTATATTCGTGTATGTAATATATACAGAGATGCATGTGTATAATCCCACCAACAGTGATTTGTTTTCATTGCAAATAGAGTTCTTTAACAGCTACGTCTATTTTAAGCACTTATTGATGCAACTGTTGCACCTATTTACAAACATCCTCTAGTTAAGTTCAAATAACACGACATTTAACAGACTTAACGAGAAAAACGATGAAATATATTTCATAAAAAAAAACTTAAATCATTAAATCAAAGTCCCTTAAATTAAGTTTTGGACTTCATCCAACCAATTTCTAACAAAATTTTCCTATTGCGTCATAAAACCTCGTATGATTGGCTGACGAAACGTAAGCCTTCTTTATGATAATGATGCACTGTGAAATCACAAATGCAATTTTGGGACCATTAAGACATTCATTTACAGTATATTCAACAAAAAAGTAGAGATGTATTGAAGAAATACTTATTTTGAGCAGGATTATGATCATTTTTAACACGAAAACGTTGCAAACGCAGTGAACTTCTTTTCAACGCACTGAGGTTACCAAGCAATCGCCAAGGTGACATTATTCAATTTAACGATAACAAGGCCTAAAAACAGAAGCAAAACAAGCATTAAATAGCATTATTATTTGAATAATCGAATGAAATGTTACAAATTATGATTTAAAAGTTCATTTTCAGATGCCACGTCCCCTGTTATTAGTTAAAAATTGCGAAAATTTGAACTTTGGAGTGATTAATATTAACAGCATCAGCCTGATAGCTAACACTTTCAGAGCGCTATATAAAGAGGCCCCGCCTGCCATTATAACACTAATCTCCAGCACGAGCAACAAGTCTAGCGAATTATTTGATAAATAGGAAGAATTTCTTTCGAAATATTTTATAATTTCAACAAAATATCATTCAATTGTTCCATTTCTGAATTTCCGCCCAAACATTAAAGGTTGGATCTGCTTTTTACAATGGATTTTTTCAAATTTTTTTTCTGACCGCTTTTTCTTCTATTGTACGTGGCGTTTTTTTTTACTAATAAACAAAAAAATTGTGATTTATCCGCTGATGATATTACGATCTGTTAATAGATCAGTCAGAAAGTTAACGAATTGTTTTATTTATCCACAGAAAATGTCCGAATTAAGAGGAAACACCAGCAGAGTTCGTTTGAACTCTCTGAACCAGAACGATGTTGTGGAGGAGGACGACGTGATGGTCCCCGACGTCGGCCTGGTGCCCATCAGGTTGGTCAAGGGAAACTTGTCCAAGGTGCCCCCACACGTTCAACAGTTCATTGCTAAATATGTTAGTAGTGTTTTTGGTCCTACATTTTTATTTTCCTCTAAATTCAAAATTATATGTATCTGGTTTGGTCCAACCAAACCAGTCCAAAAAATGAACTATTTTTAAAAGTTTTGGTAGTTGAATATAATATAGAATACTTTTAGGAGTCCTGATTAATTATATTATAGTTATTGTATATTTTAATTGTGTTATTACTGTCTTTTGGCATTAATTTGATTGAGGCAGACTATCACTATTTCCTGTTGAGCTGATTATTTGTCAGGATCACTCACATCAAGCTCAAAATCTAGAAATAAAGTTTTTGCTTTTAATTTTTTAACTTTATATTTTAGCATTATTACATTAATTAGATAAGGGTGTATAAACTATAAATGAAGCAAAATAATTTTAATCTTTAGAAGTTTGGTTTATTTGCAATAACTGAAAATAATGGTTGCTTATTTATAGTTCAGATACAAATTGGAAAGTATATTTATGGGGCTGTTGTTGAATTGCTTTTGTTAATGTTTGTTTGTGTGTATAGGATATGTTGGATAATATTTTATTTGTGATAGTGTTGATGATATTGTGGGTAATTTGTGTAATATGTACTAGAGATGCTCATTTTAACAGTTGCAAATACATTGCAAAATGGCTTTGTTGGGCTATTGTTACTTGAAGGGAATTAACTTAAGGATTGGTAATTTCTTTAACTATTCATTGCACTGTTTGAGTCATTGTTATTTTTAATTACTACCTACATTTGAAACCTGTCTGAGTAGTAGAAAAGTGTTTGGCTAAATTTTATGTTATGTGTGTGCGTGTTTGTGTGTGCTCTTATAACTTCATCATTAAAATTTTTTAAACTGGTGTGTGATACTGTTGTGTGCATTTTATTTTGTCATCATTTTCTTTATCATGTGACAATTCTTAAATAGTGCAAGTTGAAAATCATTGGAGCGTGAAGTTTGTGTAAATATTATGGTGGTTTCCCTATCTTCATTCATTCACTTGTTTCTTTATCCATTCATTCATTCATTCATTCATTCATTCATTTATTCATTCATTCATTTATTCATCCATTCATTTATTCATCCATTCATTTATTCATAGTTCAATTTGGTATTCTGTCACTCATTTCATTGTTTGCCTTCTTTAGTTAGATTTTATTTTTAGTAGTCACGACCAAGATGATGATAATGATGATGTTACTTATGATGATAATAATTATACTACTTATGATGACGATGACTACTACTGATGACAATGATAATGATGATACTACTGATATGCATTTATCAGATATTACTACTGATGGAGATGATGATAGTAGTGATGACAAATCGTAATGCTGATGATGATACTAGCCGTCATAATTTTAAAACATCATGTGTTTAAATTAGTTATAACTATAAGTTTGTCATTAATAAAAATTATTTAAATTTTTATTTAAACTTATATTTTTTTAGATTATTTTAGAGGTTATGGAGATGTTAATAGATGGGGGGGGGGGGGTAATGGTGATAAAAATGGCTAAATTTGTGATTGTTGTTTAAAACAAAGTGGAAATAGATTGAAGTTATGAATGTGTCAATGTTAATGGCTAATCATTAATTGCTGGGTGATCAATCTGAAGTTTCTCAATAATAAGGATGTAAAATAAATAAAGCTGTTGAAAATGTTGAAAGTTAGAATGTGTAAGAGATAGAGGAGAGAGAGAGAGAGAGAGAGAGAGAATGCAAGAAAAAGGGAGTGTTGGAAGAGAGAGAGAATGAAAGAGAGATATGTATATTTTAAATAGAAAGGAAATAAAATATGTTTCTATTCCTTTAGTCTAGTTGTTTTCAGAAGTTTATCATTTGTTGTTTGTTTGTGGTTCGTTTGAGTTTACCCACTCAATACCTCTTCACTTATTTATATCTGTGTTGTCTATTTTCTTTTAAACAAATGGAGTTAAAAACAATGTGATCTGAGTGATATGGCCTGATAACATTTAGTGACCTTATGCATGGAGTCACTTTCAAATATGCAAATCAGTTGAAGTAGCTATTTGTTGTTCTTGAAGTGAGACAGTTTGCAAATGTAGATTAGATAGCTTGCACATGTAGATATATACATTCATGTTTATGACTATATAGGTACAAACTACACGTACAAAAATTCTATTTCACCGCACATACATTTAACGTGTCTTACTGATGTTAACTTAACAGGTGCAGATCTGTCGTCCAAAAGGAGTCTTCATATGTGATGGCAGTGATGAGGAGGCCAAAGAAATGACGGAGAAGCTAGTGGAGCGTGGTACATTAGTGAAGTTGGAATCCATGGACAACTGCTACTTGTGTCGTACGGACCCAGCCGATGTTGCTCGTGTGGAGAGCAAGACCTTCACAATCACCAGAGAGAAGTTTTCAACTGTTCCACACGTTGCACCTGGAGTTGATGGACAACTGGGTAGATGGATGAGTCCTGAAGACGCAGAGAAAGAATTGGGAAGCAGGTTGCCAGGCTGCATGAAGGGACGTGTGATGTACGTCATTCCATTCAGTATGGGTCCAGTTGGTGGACCCCTCTCGAAACCTGGCATCCAGTTGACTGATTCTAACTACGTGGTCTTGAGCATGAGAATCATGACGAGAGTGTCAGGTGAGCTCTTCAAAGTGATTGGAGAACAAGGGGAGTTTGTGCAATGTGTTCATTCTATTGGAGCTCCTAGACCTGTTGAGAGAAAGGTCAGTACTCTTCAATTGCATGTCACTTTTGTCTCTGTGTTGTAAGATGTCTGCATCAAGTTTCTTTCTGGTATGCTTGCACTGACAGAATTCAAATGAAAATTGATATGGATGTCAATCACTTATCTTTACACCTCATCTTTCTACATTGACAGGTGATCAACCACTGGCCATGCAATCCTGAACGCATCATCATCTCCCAATTTCCTGACGAACGCAAGATTGTGTCGTACGGAAGTGGCTACGGAGGTAACTCACTGCTTGGAAAGAAATGTTTTGCACTGAGGATTGCTAGCTGCATGGCGAGGGATGAAGGATGGTTGGCTGAACATATGCTCATCATGAGCGCCACCAGCCCTGAGGTTGGTCTGCTCTGATGGCAGCTTCTATTTATTCTAACTTTTTTCTTCTAACGTGTTGTAGTGCTTGGAACTATGAACGTTTAGTAGCAAATCACAATTGAATGGGTTTTGTATTGAGTGTTGTCGTCATTTTTCATTAAGTTCTACCACAAAGTTTTTTTTTCATCTGCCTAATGGTTCTGGATTTGCATGCATAACAGATGTTGTTGATTGATGTTTTGCAGGGCAAGGAGCATTTCATTGCAGCTGCATTCCCAAGTGCATGCGGAAAGACCAACATGGCCATGCTGACTCCAACTCTGCCTGGCTGGAAGGTTTGTTCTGATGCTGATAAAATGTTGTTTTTTTAGAAAATCTTTTCAACGTTTTGTTTGACCCATTTATTGTTATGTTTTATACAATTTAAACATTTTGAGCAATATACTACTTTGCACCTGCAGATAAAGTGTGTTGGGGATGATATTGCATGGATGAGATTTGACAAGGATGGTCGTTTGAGAGCCATCAATCCTGAGGCAGGCTTCTTTGGTGTAGCACCTGGAACCAACACGAAGACCAACCCAATGGCTATGGCTACATGCAGCAAAAATACCATCTTCACTAATGTGGGCATGACCTCCGAAGGGGGAGTGTACTGGGAGGGTCTCGAAAGAGAAGTTGATCCCGATGTTGAAGTTTCAGGGTGGTTGGGTGATCGCAAGAAGATTGGAGATTTCAAAAAGTCTGGCATCAAGGCAGCACACCCCAACTCTCGTTTCTGCACGCCAGCCAGCCAGTGTCCCATCATTCATCCAAGATGGGAAGACCCAGAGGGATTCCCCATTGATGCCATCATCTTTGGAGGCAGAAGACCTGAGGGAGTGCCATTGGTGTTTGAATCATTTGACTGGAACCACGGTGTTTTGTTGGGAGCAGCTTTGAAGTCTGAAACAACGGCTGCTGCTGAGCACAAGGGCAAGGAAATCATGCATGACCCTATGGCAATGAGGCCATTCATGGGTTACAACTTTGGTGACTACTTGAGACACTGGATTGACCTGAACAAGCCTGGCCGTAAAATGCCCAAGGTTCGTTTTATTTTTGTGTATGTTGTGTTCTGTAGTGTTGTGCTGATGAGTTAGAATTTTACATTTTTTCACATTTACTGAAAGTTTTGCATAGAAGAACCTGTCACTTGCGTGATCATATCAAGCTAATACTTTCAACAACACATTAATTAATTAATTGATTAGATCTTCCATGTGAACTGGTTCAGACTGGACAGCAATGGATCTTTCTTGTGGCCTGGTTATGGAGACAACATTCGAGTCATTGACTGGATCTGCAAACGTGTTGATGGTTAGTTGTTTCGGTTGGCGATAATAATGATGATTGGTTGATGAATTTATGGTATATTTATTTATTTTTATCGTCACTACATTCCATACGTTGTACAAACCATCCATCCGATTGACCAATACCACCATCTCCATGCAGGCCAGGACAACGTTGCCATTGAATCTCCCATTGGCTACCTACCGACTGAAGGTAGCATCAACATGGACGGACTCAACGATAGCTACAGAACGCCACAAAACTGGCAGAAGCTCTTCAGCCTGCCAAAAGATTATTGGGTGGAGGATGTTCGTGAGACGAGGCAGTTCCTCGATTCACAAGTCGGCATCGACCTTCCAACTCCGATCATCAAACAGATGGATCTCTTGCAGGAGAGGATTGCTCAGATGTGATGTGATGTGATGGGTTGGGTTGATTTGTCGCTGCTGTTTGTGTTTGTGTGATTGGCTGGTTGATTTGCACTAGGAGGGACCAGATCATCGTTGCAACATCATCATCATCATCATCTTGTCATTTTTTTGTATCATATCATCTCCATATCTACAAAAATGTGATCATCACCGTTAATGTCCGTGTTGTTATTTCATTATCACTGCTATCTCTATCTCTCCTCTCTATGCATGTGTTCTTTGTAATTTCTTTGTAAGAATTGTGGTCGTTGCTGGTCATTCGTTCGCCTAAGCTATCAATTAGGAAATAATTTGTTAACAATTTTTATTATATTTATAATAAAATTAATTTGAATTTAATTTAATTTATTTCTAATTATAATTTTTTAGTTTAGTCTTTCTTATAAAAGCGCAACGTTTTAAATGTAAGCTTTCTTCTCAATGTATTGGGCACGATTCATTCACTGTGGAATTTGTAGACCATTTCCTTAGCATTCACAATGTACATAGTCATACATTTGCTCATTCGTTCATTTTTTTCAATCATTCATTCGTTCGTTCATCCATTCTTTCTATCATTCTTTTTTCTCTGTTTATATACATTATTTCTATAATTATTTTTATAATTTGGTACTATTATAATTACGTTATTATTATTATTTAAATAACAAGCGTTACTTATTTTTCACTTGAAGACATTGAGCTTAAAGGGAGTAAGTTATTAAATTATAGTTCTCGCGTTTGTGTACATGTGTCTGTATGTGGACTTCCTCTTATGTTATCTTCTTTGTATTCGACTTCCATTTTCCATCGTTAACCAATGATCGATGGTGACGATGTCAACAATGATGAGGATGAAGATGGTGATGGCTAGAAGATAAGGATGAAAAATGTGATGGTGATGGTGATAGATGAAATAACGATAATGATAGAATACTGAGATTACAGATTAGTACTAATATTTCTATGTAACCATTTTTTCAATGGAACTACGCTTCATTCGCTGATGGTCAGTTTTTGTTACATTCGGAAAGAGACACATAGTTGTACGCACGCATACAGATACACATACTGGTGTACACACACACACACACACACACATATATATATATATATATATAGTTTGTTTAGTTTGAATTGTAACGTTTAGATGCAGACACTGGATATAATTAATTAGATATTCGATTTTATAGCACATGCCTGGTTTTAATCAATTATTTATCAGTATATTGTAATATTTAATAATAAATTATAAAATTTAGTGTTTTAATACAATATTAGTGCTAGATATTATTTTGTGGGTTGCGAGTTTCATTTTAAATAGCTTAATTAAAGACACGCATAGAACATTCAAGTAATGAAACAATGTGTAGCGTTTGTTCGTTAATCAATTATTATATTCTATTACACTGGCTTTTATTTTTATATGAACTTTATAGCAATCTCTTTCATTTCGTTTATTTATTTATTTATTTATTTCATTCATCACTTTCATTCATCACTTTCATTCATCACTTTCATTCATCACTTTCATTCTTTTGCAAAGAGAGTTTTATTGAACTTTGTTAATTTTGTTCTGGGAGAGTTTACTTTGTATGTATATTAGTTTCCCGTTATTTTATACCATGTGTTATTTATATATATTAATTATTATAGTGGTGATAATTAATTTTTTTAATTATTATTATTTTGTTGTTATTATTATTATTGCAAATTTTGTTCCGTTTAGTCATTGTTTTTTTTCCTACTTTTGGTTTTTCCTTGTAACTGAATTGTTAAATATTATTTACGTTCACGTTCTATCATTGTGTGTGTGTGTGTGTGTGTGTGTTTATATATATGTGTATATATATTCAACGAAATGTTATTCATTTTATTTGGGTGTTATGGCTAAAAATTCTTCTATTCATCTATTTATTATTATTTTAATAAGCACATGTATATATAATTACATTATATTATTAGCTAGCTGAATTATTAATTAATTAATTAGTTATATTGTATATTGGACTGGATAAACATGGGTTTAATTTTTTCCATTTTGTTTTGTTTTCTCATATTATTAAAAAAAAAACAAACTAATTTTTGTGTGATTAGATTGGTTTCGTCGAATTTCGAATACTGGGTAGGCCCTCTCTCTCCCTCCTCTCTTCTCTCTCTCTCCCTCCTCTCTTCTCTTTCTCTTCTCTCTCTCTCCCTCCTCTCTTCTCTCTCTCTTTTCTCTCTCCCTCCTCTCTTCTCTCTATCTCTATCTATCACACACACCCAATTTAAACAGACCATTGCGCATAACACAAGATATCTTCTCACGGAAATGCATTCATAAGGCTTATTACAATATTATTACATTATTACAATATGTTTTAATTTTGCAATTTTAGTATCCATTATGCCTGTTACAAAACTGAATGAAGTGTTACATTGGAAGTAAGGATGGAGGCTCCCTTCTACGTTTATTTCTCCGTTAACAGTAAAAATGAAAAATCGAGTTTACGTGATTTAAATTTTCAGTTACGGAATCTTAAAAAATTGCAATAATAATAGATAAAATTATTTTTATACTTTATAAACGTTCGGGGTTTACTGGTTTGCTTCTTTTAGGAGGTACCGAAACTTTTAGACTGATTTTAAAATTTCAATTCCACAGAATGATAAAAAAGTATATCAATAACAATATATCTGTCGTGGAGAAAATGGTAAACTGGTGAACTAATACGGCGATTTTAGTAGAACGATTTTTCTTTTGAGTTTGAAAAAAAATTTCTTATTCCAGGCAAACATCAGGAACGTCATGAATGAGACGGAGAATGCTGGCTGCCAGTGATGCAGCAGGTTGTCGTGAGCTATCTCGCATATCAACGCTAGAGTGTAAACCACGGAAATTAGACAACCTTTGACCGATGTGACGATGAAGGACTGAATTTTATTCTTCAACATGCACCCTGCTATCGTAGTGTCGTCAATTCTATTCCACTCATTGACAGCCACACTTAAGAAGATGCAGTTGAAGATACACGAAATGAGATCGAGTATGAAGTACAACGTTGTGCTGGCGCAACGAACGTGGAATTGTTTGTATCCGTAATGAAGAAGGTACAATGGAACGTTTAAGATAGTCATCAATATGAATGATGTGATCCAAACAAATGATATATACCCACGGAACATGATAGTTGTTTTCTGACCTGATGGTGAAAGTTGCTCGCTGACAATCGCACATGAGTTATGAACTAACGAATTCAACCATAATAAAATGTTACATTTAAACAGCCACGTTATGATGACAGCATCTCCAGTTGCATAACTTTCCACAAAACTTATAAATCCCAATATTACATTTGATATAGAAAGATTCATTACAATATATCTGAAAACTGTTTTACTCCCACCAAAATAAATTACTATAATTAGCGCGCTGAAAATTATGCTAAAACTTCCAGCGGATAAAAAATATTCCGACAGAATTCCATGCATGTTGGGATCGAATGATTTGAACGTGGAGTTGGCGGGACTTCACGTTCCTACCAAATGTTCAACTCTAATATACTAATACTGTGATTGATGATTCTTATACTTCCATGTTATGAAGCTGATCGCAGGCTTTTGTTGACTTTTAATCTGTTTTAATTTCACAGACCATGTCTGTTCGTTTGTGCAAATAGTCGGCATGTCCTTAATTGCTATACCTACCTACAACCAATCACAAACGCTCCTTACATCGGGTAATGTTGTTAAAAATAACATCAATTAATCAGTTACTGTTTGATGTTACCTCACACAGGAATAACTCACTCCTACTTGTGATTAATATCTCAAAAATGGATTCCATCAAATTTTTAACAACACCATTTAAGAAATTTCATTAATAAATTTGCTCTCGTGTATTCGTTCCAGTATTTTAGTACGAGCATAAGCAACATTAGAAAGAGTTTAAGTGAGCTGAATGATGGTACATTTTCTAAAGCCAGATTAAAATACCCATTAGATAATACACAATTAAGGTTGGTATAACACTGTGCTGTATTCCTAGTCAAAATGCGATAAACGTTGAAAAAAATAATCACTAACGCACTAGAACAATTTAACATTTTTTCAAAATAAACTGCACCTCAACGTAACGTACTAAGAAGTGATAAACTGTTTGGGTCTATCGGCTTCTAAACAACGCCTTCAATAATAATTTGACAGTTCAAATTTCTTCAACATGGCCATTGGTCAGTATTCGTCAGCTTTGGTCAGTGTTTGAATAATGTTTGAGTTATACGGGTCATGGAGGTTAATGGCCTTCAATTGTTTCTGTTTAGTCATTCCTCAAACAAACCATATGAACTTCCAATAGAGAGCTACATTCAAATTCATGATGATCTTTATATTGTTGATGTGGTTGTTAAGTTGTGTTGGTTGGGGTTGGGCGATGATGTAGAAAAATAAAACCAATACGATGGCGAAATTTAAAATAAACTCAAAATTTATATATCAAAACAACTTTATGGCTAATTTAAAGAAATTGTTAATAATTTAGAAACAAGCAAAAAATGAAAAGACAAAAAAAAGTTGAATGTTTACACATAAAGAATAGCAAAAATGACGAAAACGCAGACATTGATTATGACAAATATACAAAATCCTGATAATACGTGTCGAGCGCGAAGTTTGTTTAATTGATTGAATTTCAACATAAATTATGACAAGGTAGATGATATAAACAATCTACATAACAGACGTATGTATGTATATAGAATTTCAATTATGCAGCTGAATATTACATCATAAATATCAGATTTTCTTGTTGTTTGTGCACACGTAAACTTTTATTATTCATTTAACAAAACACTATTTCAACGATCGGACAGATTATAATTTAATGAGTTTAACTACTAATACTACTACAAATAGAATCAGTTTCCTTCCATTAATTTGCCATAGAATCTAATATGTTTCGAACTGTCTTTTTTGACCTGAGCCGCTACAGATGACATTTCTTTTCTGAGGAAAGCAATGATTCTACCTACGTATATACACTACACTGTATTAGTAAAAATTTCAAAAATTGTTAAATTATTAGAAAAAAATTGTCGATATGATGAGGTCAAAATGATCTACTCCAATGTACGTCAATCGATGAGTCTGATGAGATTATTTTCAAATGAGATTATATTTTCAAACATTTAAAAACATCAACTACTACTACTACAACAACTACAACAACAACAACAACTACTACTACTACTACTATCAGTGCTACTACTACTACTACTACTACTACTACTACTACTACTACTACTACTACTACTACTACTACTATACTACTACTACTACCAGGACCGTATTTATAAGTGTAAGAGGCCTATGGTAGATAAAAGTGGTGGAGCTTCCAATTATTTAATGAAGACCGCTAACACAATAGTTTGAATTTTCAACATCATCAAATTTTCCACCTTTTTGCTAAAATTTTTTCATTAAAACCAGTCTTTTTGACAAATTTTTAATAGGAAAATATTTTAAACTTACACATATTATCTTTAGTGCAGATGCTCGTTTTTTGTGAAGGGCCTTAGGGCAGATGGCAGTCCGCTCTGCCTCTCCTTAAATCAGATCTGGATTACTACCACAACGACTTGCAACAACTCTAGTTAGAGATGCCGTGCGAATCTATCATACAAACTTTACCATACAGCAGTTGTTTATTATTAAGAAAAAAATGTAAAAATATTTTTAAGATATGAAAAAAGGATTAAGATAAAATCTGAAAGCTTTTCGATAATTATTTTTTGTCTAGATTGGATATTTTATTTTAAATTAGTTCATTTTTAAGAATTTTGTTATAAAATTAAAAAAAAATACAAATACCTCTTCGTATTTTGTAAAATGTAAAAAAATTTCCGATTCGAACGATCGTAAACGTCAATAGCTTAACATTTGTTTCATTGATCTTTTTTCTACTTCACGTATAGTTGAATGTTTAATCTGCGTGGCGCTTATTTAACAGATGGACTATCATTCGACATACGCAGAATTTCACCATTCAAACATCACATACTACACACTTCACCATTGATATCCAATATTTTGAAACTACTACATATTTGCTCGTTTTCAGGTCGCACAACCTAACTCTATCTGGATCACTCTCACACAAGTACGTTTTCATTAAGTACTTTGTTTAATATAAATAATTTATGTGAACATAATTAATTTTTTTCATTTGTTTTTCAAGTGTTTTTCAATTTGTTTACTTATATTTGAAATTTAAAAATAAAAAATAGGGACAATTTTTTGAACTCAACAGGCAAGACAAGCATGAATCTATGCACTGGGACGTTCCTGTTGATTGCAACCCATTTTTGGGCCTCTGTTGCAGGTTTTTTAAGTGGTTTTTTTTGTAATATTTTTTTTCAGATAAAATGAAATTTGCGTTGCGTAGTTAAAACTCTTGGTTTTGTATGATCAAGCATGATAATGTGAAATAAACTATTTATCAAGTCATTTAAAATATCATTAACTATTCGACTTCGAATCGTTACTTACCACCATTTGCTTTGAACTTGATGCTACCTTCAAATAAGCACCAGCATCATATGCATTGTTTTAATTATCCCAAACAACTATTTTTATCTTAAAACATACATCAACTCTTAGATAATTTCATAGCTGGTTGAAAAAGAATAAAAAATTTTCCAACAAAATTTTTCTATAGCTGACTCCTACCAGCTAGAAGTGCCACCATTAGGTGCAGGTATGTCGGCGACGGAGAGTTCAGTATGGGAGAATCATGTCGCAAACCTGGCAATAGATGGGCAACCGGGCAGCTGGGCAGCAATGGTTAATGGAAATGCTAACGAGCCAGCATGGTGGAGGGTTGATCTCGGTGCAAATTACCTCGTCACCCATGTCAAGATCATCAATACCGCCGATTCATTTTGTTAGGAGTATTATTATAATATAATTGATCTCAAATAAGTTTAAAAAGATATTTACTGAATGCTAATGAATATCTTACGGGGCAAAATTTAGTTTAATCTAGTAGTTCACTAGAAATTATTTTTTATATGTTGCCAAAGACGACCTAAAATAATAACAATTCATTTTTTCTAGTCTCAGCGTTCCTTGAAAACTTCCGCATACTCTTAGAAAATGAGCGAAACGGATACGGAGAACAGCAATGTTACCGCCACCCATATGCCGTGGAGAAAGGAAATGCGCAAATATTTCAATGTGACAAGCCGACAGAAGCAAGGTGACTCTCCATTTGACTACACTGAACCCTTCAACCACGCAGATAGTAAATCAAATCATATCAAATTATAATTCGAATTTACATTACCACATTAATTAAATATCAAAAAAACATTGCTAAATTAAATAATTAACTTTTAAGATACGTGAAAATCATAAAAGATTATAACAGTGTTAGACGCGATATTATGGCCATAGCAGATGTTAAAGTCTTTACAACCGTGTATTACAATGGTAAACAATTATTTGAAAATACACACACACTCTCACACACACAAAATTTATTAAAAAAATTATGAATAAAACATTTTTTAAATTCATTCAGTTCCGCCTAACACACCAAGTTAGTTATTATGTTAATTTTATGTTAATTATATGAATATTGTACTAGTTTTTTTTTCTCTGAATCAGAAAAAGTTTCCATAAGATGTAGTCATTGATATTGAAATAAGAAATATATAACTTTATGAAATAACATAAAACAACCCAACAGAACATAGCATAACATAAAAAATATTATTAACACATATAAATAATAACTTCATTGAATCATGAAAATGGAAAATAAAATTATTTTGCCCATCTAACTCAGGTCCTGTCATACCGCCAAGCAACATCGTAGACCCGAACAGCCAACAACGTTAATAAATTAGCTAAATTAGTTAATAAATTAGCTATTCACACAAATTTCTTTCCAATCGTTGACAGACATGTGAAATTTTGTTACTTTGAGAATGTTTTTTTGACTGATCTTTTTTTGGACTGTGTAATGTATTATAACTATACAATACAACTAAAATTTTCAACCATAAACAGTGAGAGAGCTGCAACTGTCGAATTATCAAGTCGAACAGAAAGGAACATTTGGCAATCACCACGCTTTTCTGGCCATCGACAACAATCCATCGACTTACACCATTGCGTGCGGTGATTGTGACCACACACTTAATAACGAAAATGTTGGCTGGTGGATGATTGATCTGCAGAAAAGTGAACCCATCTCGAGAGTTGTCCTCACAAGCAGCATCGACCATTATAGTACAGTTTTTTGATGCTTCTTAGATTGACATAATAAACAAACAAGCCGGTACTTACTAAATCACAAGACATCATATCTATGGAGAAAAATTTAACACGCTTTAATTTGCTACACCACAGATTCAAAATACTTGCAAGAGATAGAAATATGGGTGAGTCAGACCAAAACGAACTTAGGAAAGGATGGGCAGTTGTGTTTTAGATTCAACAACAGAACTGAATTGCCACCAGGAACAGTACTTACTTTCAACTGTGACAGCCAGCCGACATGGGGGAGGTACTTATTTGTCGACAGGATCAAGGAGGCTTACCACAGACCTGATGCCATGTCCATTGCCGAAATTAAAATTTTTACCAGCACTTCAAATTCGAGTGGGTATTGTTTTTGGTCCTTTTTAAAGAGTTTAGCTTCGTTGGATTAAAATTTTTTAATGATTTCGTATAGTTAAAGTCGTAAGAAAATATTGTTTGTTTACCATTTTAAACAGTTGTGAACATTGACAAAAACAGCAACTCCAACTTCGCATGTGAGTTGCTATTTCAATTAATTTTACTAGATAACTTATATAAATTAGTAAAAAAAATCGCAACTCTTCAATGTTCACACACCCGTCTCATTTTCACAGCTCTCAAATCCCAAATGATTCAAAGTGGGACATGGGGTGGCCATGAAGCCTACCTAGCAATGGATGGAAACATGGAAACCTACTCCGTCGCAGACACAACTCTCGATTCTAAGGCAACTTATTATAATAAACCAGCTTGGTGGCAACTCGATTTGGGAGCTAACCGCTGGGTGTCTGCAGTCTCTATAGCTAGCAGCAGTGACGATACAAGTTTGCTGCAATTTTTTATTTGAAATTCTGATTTTGAAATTTTTGTCTATAAAATAATTTTTAAAAATATTTAATATTGATTTTAATTTAACAAAGATTGGTTTAATTTTAATTTTTATTTCACTTAATAGATGCACGTTATTTAGAAGAGTTTGCAATTGAAATCTCGCGATCAAGTATTGAGATAGATTCAGGGCTTCTTGAATCAAGACGATGCAAGTACTACAAGGGTGGCTACAAGACCAGGACCACTACCAGATATGAATGCGACCAAGGACCTCTGTTTGGCAGATATGTCCTTATCAGAAGATTGGATGCGGCCGTCAATTCCTACGGTTCCTACAGACCACAGGTCATTGCACTGGCCGAGGTCCAGGTCCATTTAACCGGCAGTTAGTTTCACCGAATATTTAAAGTTATGGCTTAGTTGGCTATTGAAAAAAAAACGATTTAGGCCCTTAAATATTTCAATGTTGAACAATTCATTTTATTTTTGCTTGACGTTTAAAAATAAACGGTTGAATACAAATTTTAAAAATTAGTTCGTGTAATTTTTGTTCTTTTGACTATCATCTCAAAACGTTGTTAAGTTACATTAGGTAGTTTTTAAATAAAAGCAAAATCTCATACCGTAATAAACAATTACGTTAATTTAAAGAAGCTTTATATTGGTTTGAGCATTTTAAAGCATGAAAATTAACGGTAGCATCTAAAAGTTGCATTGCTACTATATTTTTATACTAATCGAACGAAAGAACCTACAAAACTTCTGAATAACTCAATTTGTAAATATCATTATATTCAGTACCTTCTCTGATAAATAAGCATAGGTGTGTTTGTATGAATGGGATAGGGTAACGCAAGATGAAGATTTATTGTATGGCAGTCGTGACGAGCCTTTGAAGTCATCAGAATCGTGGTTAACTAAGTCTAACTCATTGAAATAACGGATAAGACAGCTTCATAATAGACTGGTTTTTAAAATTATCGTCCAAACATATATTATTTTACTTACATGTTCTAAATATTATATGTATTGGGGTTCTAAGTAAATGTTAAAATATTTTCACACTATATATTTGCTAAAAAGCATATAATACAATACATAAAATACCAAGGTTATAGATTAACTTTTAAATTGTAGGTTATGAAATCTGGCGCGTTAGATTTGCCCGCCGAGTATATATATCGGGATTCGAAAAAGTTCGTCCTCTTTGTTTTGCTGGTTTTTTTTTGTTGAATCGCGATTAAAATTAGTACATTGTCTGCAAAAATATTCTCCCAAGCCCCATCATTAAGTTAATTGAAAATGGTTAACCAAAGGAGTTTGTATGTTCTTAAGAGAGGTTGAGTTGTTTGCTCCTTTCATTCATTCAATTTTATATTTTATTTGAGGTTTTTTAATAAACAGAATAATAAAATTATTCAATAATTTGTTTGTTAAATAATTTTTACTGTGATTCATTCAATTTTATATTTTATTTGAGGTTTTTTAATAAACAGAATAATAAAATTATTCAATAATTTGTTTGTTAAATAATTTTTACTGTGATTAATGTCTGAATGACATTTTAAAGTTTACGAAATTGTTGAGTGAGACAAAAAGATGAATGAATCAATTAATATAAAAATAAATAAATGGTGCAAGATGTTGTAAGATGTTGGCTTGTATCTGTAATGTAATTGGTATTGTATTAAAAAATGTTTTCTTTACAATTTTTTCAAGAATCTGAAACTAAAAAACTTGTTGCACCATTGTTAAAAAATTAATTTCTTAAATCAGATTGAAAAAAAAGTTTATTTAATTTTAATATTAATTATTAAATAATTTAAATTTAAACAACTGAACTGAACAGATGGCAGGAAACAAGACATTCACTTTGACAAGATAACATTTCGAATTAAAAAGTTGTGTTATGGTCTCAATCTTGATTTTGTTGATCCAGTAAGTAATCAGTAAATCCTGTAAATTTTAATTCTCTTGGCAAATTTTTATCCTAATTTATTAGACTGCAAACTTTTGTCTTAAATTTAAATTTTTATTAGAAAGTTATTATTTTTCAAATATTTAAAGTTACAAAACACAATTTTCATAGGTGGAGGTGACTATGAAAGTTATAAGCGGATTGTATCCGGGTGTCACAACGGTTGAGTTGGACAACCTGGCTGCAGAAATCTGTGCCACCCTCACTGCAAAACACCCCGACTATGCTCTCCTTGCCGCCAGAATTGCAATGTCCAACCTTCACAAGGAGACAAAAAAGTCATTCAGTGGTTTGTCTTTGTTGGATTTGAAAATCAACTGATTGAAAGTATAGTTACATGTTTGATTTGTGATCGACTCATTCCAAAATGTCACTAACCATATAAACACCAACCCACACAGATGTTATGTCGGACCTCTACCACTACTACAATCCTGTCACTGAGCGGAATAGCCCGATGATCTCGAAGGAGACGTACGACGTCATCATGGCTAATGCTGACCGACTCAACTCCTCCATCATCTATGATAGAGACTATGGCTACACTTACTTTGGCTTCAAGGTTTGTGTTTGCTGTGCAAATTTTTTTAAAGATTTTTAATTACTGCATGAATTTGTGTTCAGCTTGAAAGAAAATCCTGTAAATTTCATTTTTATAGAAAACTTTTGGCTGCCATAAAACAGTTAAGATGATTAAAAAATGTATATAATAAAAGGTCAATAAAAAATAGATAGTAGCAAACCTTTATTTTATTTTTACAAACTGAAGACCCTAGAAAGATCTTACCTGTTGAAAATAAACAAGAAAGTGGCCGAACGTCCTCAACACATGTTAATGAGGGTCTCCATTGGCATCCATGGAGATGACATCGAGTCAGCCATTGAGGTTTGTAGTCATTCACCTACCTCTGCCCAATCAATCGTTCCTCTAACCGTCCTGATAATCAGTCAGTCAAATTATTCCCTGAAGCAATCATTCAGTTAGTTCACCTATCAATCAATTCAATTACTTATCGACTCATTCTAAAACCTGACCAATCAATCGACCAGACGTACAATTTATTATCTGAAAAGTGGTTTACACATGCTTCCCCCACCCTCTTCAACGCCGGCACCAACAGGCCTCAACTGTCTAGGTTCATTTTTTACACCATTTTTTTCTCTCCTTAATGGTTTTCATTGTATTAGATCATCTACTTGAAATGTCTTTGCCACTTTACTTATGTGTAACAATTTGGATGAAATTTATTGCTGGTTGTTGATCAGTCTGTCAAATGCACGAGAATTTAATAATGCGTCTGACATGATGACAAAATTATTTGGTTATGCTTACTCAATCATTTATTTGGTTGCTATTCATTTCTTCACTTAATCTGCCTATAATTTATTCATTCATTTCGTCTGTCCTTCACTCGTTTAATTTGCAATTTTTTCCGTCAGTTGTTTCTTGGTGGCCATGAAGGAAGACAGCATCGAGGGCATCTACGACACCCTCAAGCAATGCGCCCTCATCTCCAAAAACGCGGGGGGTGTCGGGCTGTCCGTACACTGCATCCGGGCTGCTGGGACGATCATTGCCGGGGTGGGTTGGCTTGCTGTTGTTGGGTTTGCCTGATTAGATGTTGTAAAGTAGGTCATTCAGTTATAAATATGTATGTAGGTCAGATTTGATTAAAAAGATACATTTGTAACTTTGCATATATTTGACGTCAGTACTTGACTTAATTTATGAATATGCATTGACAATGTGATTCATGAATATTTATCAGATGCATACTCATCAAACATATTATATCAAGAGAGATTGAGTTTTGGTGTCTTTGTGGTTGTTTCATCGCAATTATTTAGTAGCTCAATGAGTCAAATTTAATGAGTTAGGTTGAATTATAATTTCTCAGAAATAATTTCAAAATTTAATGCCACATTTAGTTGCTTTACTTAACTATTTAACAATTTAAACAAAATCTATTGTTGGTTAATCAAATGTAGTTGTAAACAACAGCTATACTACCTTAATTTTGCAGACAAATGGTACATCTAATGGCCTAATCCCCATGCTTCGAGTCTACAACAACACTGCTAAGTATGTCGATCAAGGAGGAAATAAGGTCTGTGTATGATTGGCTGGTTGATAATATGATTGTCATGACAAAGGATGTATATTAGTTGTGATGCATGCTAACATTGTAGTTGATGATGATCTCTGATTATGTTAATGATGATCTCTGATTATGTTAATGATGATCTCTGATTATGTTAATGATGATCTCTGATTATGTTAATGATAATCTCTGATTAGGTTAATGATAATCTTTGATTATGTTAATGTTATACTTTCAATCAATCAATCTTCGTTTTGCGTCCAGAGACCCGGTTTACCGAGGTAGGACGTTAATGTTATACTTTGATTATGTTGATGTTAATCTCTGATTATGTTAATGATAATTTCTAATTATGTTTTCTCACTTCACCATTTACTAACTCCTCCAACAGAGACCAGGTGCCTTTGCAATTTACTTGGAGCCATGGCATGCTGACATTTTTGAGTTTCTTGACTGCAGGAAAAATACAGGTTTGTGTGTGTTGTGCTTGTTTGCGTGTGTATGTGTCTTGAGTATGTAAATATGCTTGCATTTTATTGCATTTGTTTGTAGGTGCATCAGTTGTTAACTGTTAATGTGGTTCAATACATGTTTCATACCATCACAAACTTGTAGGCAAAGAGGAATGTAGGGCTCGTGACCTCTTCTATGCTCTCTGGGTTCCTGATCTGTTTATGGAGAGGGTGGAGCAGGATGGTAACTGGACCCTGATGTGCCCTCATGAGTGTCCAGGGTTGTACCAGACCTGGGGGGATGAGTTCAGGGCCCTTTATGAAGAGTTAGTTGTTGTTGGTGGTTTTCTGCTGTAAATTTTGTCACCACTTTTCTGATATTTTACAACAAACATCACTTCCTATTACTTAAGGTATGAAAGAAAGGGCAAAGGTCGCAGGGTTGTCAAGGCACAAGCTCTCTGGTACGAAATAATCACTTCACAGGCTGAAACTGGTGAATGTCCATTTGATTAATATTCATGAATCACATAATCTATGCATATTCATTGACTGACAAATGTATGCAAAGATGCAAGTGCATCTTTTCTGATATTAATCATCCCTGACCTATATGCATATTTACGATTTTGCATGACCTACTTCAAAAAAATCTGATCAGGCAACCCTTACATGTTGTACAAGGACAGTTGTAACAGGAAGTCAAACCAGCAGAATCTTGGTACGATCACTTGTAGTAACCTCTGCACGGAGATCATTCAATATTGCGATCCGAACGAGGTTTGTTTGTGGATTGGTTGCTGGTTAGCTAGCTTGTGATTGATTGCTTGATGGGTTGTTCGTGGATTGGTCAGTTGATTGTTTGATTGGTCACTAGTCAGTTGACTGATTAATCAGTTTGTCTGTTTGTTGGAGAGAAACATTCCTTTAAACTGTGCATTTTATAGAATGCAAATGAATTTCATTGCAATTGTAATATCTCTTTGTTACTTAGCAAAAAATTGTTGAATCTAGGTTGCAGTGTGCAACTTGGCATCCATAGCATTGAACCAATTTGTGAGGTCCGACCGTACATTCGATTTTGAGAAGTTGGAGTACGTCGTTGGTGTTGCAGTCAAGAATTTGAACAAAATAATTGAAGTCAACTTCTACCCTGTTCCTGAAGTATGTGTGCGCGTGCGTGTTTTTGTATGTGTGCATGTGTGTGAGTTTGTCTGTATGTTTGAATGTGTCATCCATGTGTGTTTGTGTCGTCCCACACGCAAAATAATTCATTCATACTCCTATGTCTCAACTGTTCATTTGATATGCAGGCCAAAACGAGCAACATGAGGCACCGACCGGTAGGAATTGGAGTTCAGGGCTTGGCAGATGCCTTCCTACTTATGAGGCTGGTTGTGACTGCTGAAATGTGGCACAAATTCTTCAAATTTTGTTTATTTTATTGTCTGGCGTTCCTCATTTTCAGCATGCCTCTACCCTAGAATATTTTCAGCTTCATTTATTCAACTTCAATCATTCATCATTCAACTACAATCATTCATCAGATATCCATTTGAGAGTGCAGAGGCCCAACAATTGAACAAGGACATCTTTGAAACAATTTATTATGCCGCCCTAAAAGCAAGCTGCTCATTGGCTGAGAAGTTCGGTCCATATGAAACATACGAAGGGTCTCCAGTCAGCAAAGGGGTTAGTTATATTTCAAATCTCATCTCTAAACGAGTGTTTATATCACTGCATATGATTTAACATGGGCGACTTCATTTCAATTTCTCTTTACAAACATTCTCGTGTATAACATGCAAGAAAGCATAAACAAACATACAAAGTGCACATAGCCACATGTTTACATGCGTGTATTAGAAAAACTGCACCACACACACACACACACACACACACACATGTACGTACATTGCACACACGTACACATGCAGACATACATGGAAAGTCATTCATCCTTCATTTTCAACTACAGATCCTGCAGTTTGATATGTGGAATGTCGTGCCATCCGACAGACACAACTGGTCTTCACTTAGAGAAGACATCAAAAGGTCGGTAGCTAGCTAGCTGGAATGGGATTGTGTGGAGAACATTAATGCCATTCTGCCTTATGTTTGATTATTAAATTTGTAACTTGTTCATGCTGCTTGTTGGAGTTGTTGACAACTAGATGTCCTGCCTATTTCAATTGATATTTATTGAAAATTATTGTAAATTTTAGCAAAAGTTTCTACAAATATTTCATTTTTATTAAATGGTTTAATTTTTTCGATTGAAATGACATCTAATGTGATGTTTTGCTGTAGTTAGCACTATTTTTCTATTTCCTAAAACAGTTATTCTCAAACGTTGTTAGCCAAACCATTTTTTCTAAAATTAACCTCTGACACGACCCTTTTTTAAGACACGGAGTTAGGAACAGCTTGCTTGTAGCTCCGATGCCCACCGCTTCCACAGCTCAAATTCTCGGAAATTGCGAGAGTTTTGAGCCATACACCAGCAATATTTATACTAGAAGAGTCCTATCTGGAGAGTTCCAGGTCTGTGTGTGTGTGTATGTGTGTGTGTGTGTGTGTGAGAGAGAGAGAGAGAGAGAAAGAATGAAAGAGAATAATTTAATAATTTGGAGAGTTGTAGATATAGATATATACTTTTTTTTTCAGTTTGTATTTATGTTGAAAGGTATCGATGTTTGCTTGGATTGGGATGTATTAAGTGCAGCTTTATTTCTATCTAATTTTTTTTATAATTAAGTCGTAGTGACCATCAATTTTGTTACTGATTCAGTCATTAGTAATGCTTTCAACTAATTGCCTAAATATTTGTTTGACATGACGAACGCATAGGTTGTCAACCACCATCTTCTGAAGGATCTCGTTGAGTTGAATCTTTGGAATGCCGACATGAAGAACTTACTCCTTGCCAACAGTGGGTCTGTCCAGGTCTCTACTGTTTTTAAATTTATGATTTTCAAATTAAAAGTTCGAATATTTTTTCAAATTAAATCATTTATTCATCCATCTTCATCGCTGATATCATAGATAAACCTACATTTTTACACACCCATTTCTTCTGCATAGCCTCCTTAATGATAATTTTTAAGAATTTTCAAATTGAATTGTTCCACAGAACATCAACTCTATCCCTGACCACATCAAGTCTTTGTACAAAACAGTCTGGGAAATCTCACAAAAAACAATAATCAAGATGGCTGCCGATCGGGCTCCCTTCATAGACCAGAGTCAGTCCCTGAATATCCACATTGCGGAACCGAATTATGGAAAGCTGTCGAGCATGCACTTCTACTGCTGGAGGATGGTGAGATGAGGCAATGATGGTGATGAGTGGTGGTGGAGAGTTGGAAAATGGCGAAGATAGAGATGATGTTGAGTGACAGATTGGAAGATGATGATTTTTTCATACTTTTTTTGCATCTTTGCTGAATATTTTTCATAATATCGACAAGCAAATTTGCATACAGGGTTTCTTAGTTTTACTTACTGGTACTGAGTCGCATTTTATTGAATATGTTTGTATGTAAATATGTGTAATAATATTTGTTTGTCCTTCTACCAACCGCCACCAGGGTCTGAAGACAGGCATGTACTATCTGAGGACACGACCCGCTGCAAACGCCATTCAATTCACAGTCGACAAATCTAAACTAAGAATACAAAATGGCGTCGCAAACCAAAATGGTGGTGTTACACATGGCGTCTTGACCCAGAAAAGTGCCCCCTCACAAAACGGCCAAAACAGTCCGACAACATCGAACGGAGGCATCGATGAAGTGTCAAAAAAGATGGAGGCTATGGTCTGCTCTCTCCAAAACAAAGAAGAATGTATGATGTGTGGTAGTTAAGAAAGTTGGAGTCGTCTGTCTGTGTATTTTTTTCCAAAGTCTGTTTTGCTTGTTGCGTTGACATAATTTGTGATGAGAGAAATTTTTTTTTAAACATTGGTGTAAGAATTCCTCAAGCTGTTTTTAAATGATTTTTTTTAATTTTTTTTCTTCATACATAGATTTTATTTCTGGTTTTTATTTGGTTTCAGTGAATTCGTGGTTATAGTTACCGTTAAGTTGTTACGTACGTATATATGACTAAGGATTAATAAAACTATAATGAATGTAATTTATCAGTATTTTAACAATTATATTGCAATTAAGTTTTCTTAATAAATTTTATGGGCTAGTATGTGAGTTCACATTCAGCAAAAAGGACTGGTTATTTTTTAAAATCCAGATTTTATTCCGTGGTTAATGTCGTGTAGTGAACGCGAGCCACAACAAAGTTATTGTTAACTAATAAAATTATCAACAGGCATTTACAGTACAATTATGCTTACGTTTAACAAAGACAGGCTTTGACTGGGCCGGTGGGAGTGCTAGTGCTGTTACACTGGTTCATAAGAAATAGAAATTTTATACTCTGGACGTTTTTACGTTTAAGTTGTCTGAAAAGAACTAGGAGATATTCAACTGTTTAAAGTTGTTTTGCATAATTAAAGATTTTAACGTGTAATGATTGAAACCATTCATGTACGACCTCAAGCGGTATTTTTGAAGTTTAAAATTTCATTAGATATGAACTAATCACAGAAACTAAAAAACAGAAATTGAATTAGATTGAAAATAGTGATGGTGTGGGCCGTTTTGACGAAGTTTCCCAGGCCGGGTTTTCAAGCCAGTCGGACCCTGAATAAAGAATTATAAATTGTTAAGCCAAGTAGCATGTTCGTAGTTGTACGCAGTTTTTAATGTTATTAAGCTTTAGTCTTGGATCTAAAAAGTTTGTTATAAGTTTTTTGTCATAATTTGACCTGTTAAGATGAAAAATAAATCACGAACATGTTAGAAAAAACTACTGCTAAAAAGTTTTACAATAATTGTAAACTTTCAAAATCAGTGCAGAAAACGTATGATATATTTGCTAGCATCTTCGAATCAAATTTGGTAAGAGATACTTTTCGCGCCAACCACAATCACGCATATTATTGAAAGATAATAATTGTTGATGATAATTTTTGCAGCTGAATTAGTTGTCATAATTGGTCTTGTGGTGGTAGTAGTAGTAGTGGTGGTGGTAGTAGTAGTGGTAGTAGTAGTTGTGGTGGTGGTGGCAGTAGTAGTAGTTTGTAAGGTAGTAACAATGGTTGTCGGTTTCAATGTTGATTCTGACTGTATAACGTCTTCGCTGTTGACAGAAATTATAACATCCAGATAAGATGACAACGGTGGAGTGCCTTCACAAGTTTGAGTGTTTAACGATTAGTAAAAAAATTGATTGAGATAATTTTCAAAAAATTGCAAAATTTTAATAATTGAAATTTGTTTTTGGAATTAAATGTTGTGCAACTTTATGAATGATTAAGTGAGATTCTTGAAAAATGGAACAAAAAAAACTGCGTACCATTATCAGTAGCTTTAATTTGGATCATGAACGACGATATCTGGTTGATAGCCTCAACGACACCCAACCACCCGTTAGAAATGTCCAGGGAAAAATAATTTGATTCAGCGGACGGCAAAAGAGCATATGTTATTTTGTCGTTATCGTCGTCATTAGCAATAAACTGTTTGTGTAATAAAAGATGGCTTTAAAACGGTTCAGATTCAGTTTAAAACTAGTAAATAGCGTTTGTTTTCAAAGATGTCTGAGTAAATTATGTAGGGTATTTTATTAACATCTAATAACTGATTCAATTTTCATGAATAATGATTTTTACAATTTACGCATTAACTTTGAAAATTTAGTTCTATTATGCCAATTCTAATAATTTTTAGCAATTTCATGAAAAAAGACAAGCCTAAACAAGAAATAACGTGCTCCCAATTTAATAGAATCTATTAAAGCCTCTAAGAACTTCTTTAATAACAGTCAAACGCACACCTGATGAAAATTTGAGACAAGTTTACCCAATGGCAACTTTAGTGTCACTCCAGATCTGTCGATGAATGTTGGTGGAAATTCATTGTCGTTTAGAACATTCACCTTCAAATGAACTGAAGAGTTCAGGGCAATGTTTTGCTCCAAATCATCATAGGCGACGATGGTCAGGTTGTACGAAACATTTTCTTCATAGTTTAACGGTTTGGCTAATGTCATTTGACCTGTTTTATGATGGTTGCGTAAAAATCAACCACACCCGTTTTACAAGGTTTTAACTAAATTTGAGATTAAGAATAAATAATAAAATTTTAATGACCGACCAGTTAAGATATTAACAGCAAACACGTTGTCTTCATTGCCAGCAGCAATGTAGTAATATACGATGGCGCTGTCCTCGTCGCTGCAAGAAAGATCAACATTCAGCACACTTCCAACTTTAAGCGTTTCTTGCAAAGATAACTTTTAAAAGAGGAAAATTTGTTTAAACATTTTGTAACCATAATTTATTAAAATTTCCTACCTCAAAACTGTTTTGTCTGAAAATTGGCGGATGAAGGTTAACGTCACTGATGTGTATTGTTAAAACTTGATTATTCGAGGACGTGTGCAGACCATCAAAGGCTTGGACTGAAACTTTCATTAAATTAATCGAGGAATCATTTTTTAGTGACGAAACCAAACGAATTTGTCCTGTTTCTTTGTTGAGTGAAACAAAACCAAGAGGATCTGGAGATATCGAGACTGCTGAGTAAGTCAGTTGAGCTAAGAAAAAAACCGCAAATTTTTTTTATTATCTTTGAACAAAGTTTAAAAAAATTTAATTTAGCTGCAAATATATAATCTAACGATTGAGATCACAATCCTGAGCTCGAAAGGTGAACAAAACAAAATTAACAGGCGTTCTTCTTGGAACGGTTATATTAGCTGTTGTATCCATGAAGTGAGGTATGCAGTCGTTCACATCGGTTACTATTATTGTTACGTTGGCTGTTGATTCAAGTGCAGGCACTCCAGAATCAACAGCTTTCAGTTCAATCACGTAGCTTTCGATAGATTCTCTATCAAGCTGAGCTGCATTGAGTAAGCTAACTCTCTTGTTTGCTAGATCAGGTTCAAGTTTGAAAAGATCGTTGCTAGATGTTAAATTACAAGGAGTAATAATATTAAAATAAAAGTTTTTAATTTCGGCATTAATTCCGAAATCCAAGTCAGATGTCTGTGCGACGAGCAGCGTTGTGTTAAAAGCAACGTCTTCGGCTATTTTAACAGTATAGCTCGATTGTGTAAACACTGGCTGATGATCATTCAGGTCCAAAACGTTAACCCAGACATTGAGAGAGCTAGACAGTTGCCCTGTTGGGGGCACCCCATCGTCAGAGGCAGTGATTTCAAATTTATAACACGTGTGGTCACTAGTTGCGACCATTGCAACCAAATTAGTTAAAAGACCATTACTCGCGTTCACAGTGAACGGGGCATATTCAAAATTGGTAGATGTTTTAATTGTGTAAGTTATTTTTTCATTAGAATCATCTGCATCCCAAGCTGATACTTTTCCTATGGCAGATCCAATGACATTTGTTTCGCTCACGTTAAAAATGTAATCTGTTGTGCTGTTGAAGACCGGTGCGAATTGGTTGGTTTTGATAATTTTTAAAGTAAAGTTAACAGTAGTCGATAGAGCAGGCAGTCCGTTGTCAGTTACAATGAAAGAGAATTTATAACTTCCCAGCAGATTTTTAAACAACGACTTTGATTCTATTGCTTGCTTGTTCTCAACGTAAAGTAACAAGTCGCGATTGTCCGGATAAATTAGTTGGAAAGTTAGAACAGAATTATTACCGGTGTCATCATCTCTCAAAACCACATTTTTCAGCAGCTCGGATCCAACCGGGGTGCTGTCTTCGATGGAGAGAGAATCAGGCAAGCCGTAAATATGAGGAGGGTTGTCGTTCACGTCTGATACAACGACAGCAACGATAACTGTTCCTGTTTTGGCAATATTTGCAGAATCTGTTGCAAAAACGACAATGCTGTACTGGTCCCTTGCCTCCCTATCAAGTTGCTTTGTAGTGAAAATGTTCCCTATTTAAAAAAATATTTTATTTAAGTTGAGGTTGTCGGTGCTGTAAGCAGCATCATCAATAAACCGTTATGAGGTCCAATGTCAAAAGGTAGGTCTGGTTGTGGTTTCAACGAGTATGTCACAGTATCACCATCCCCATCAATAGCGTTCACTGTAACGATGGCGTACGGAGGACTGAGATTTTCTGCCACGCTCACACTGATAACGTCTGAAGCGAAGGTCGGTGAATGCAAGTTGGTTGCAGTTGACAGCATGCTGTAAACATATGTTCCTAGGAGCATTAAAGCGTTTTATTTTTAGCAAACTAAAATATAATAATATCATTTACCTATCAAATCGAAAAGAATAATAGAAAAAATTGAAAATATTGTTGACGATTATTTTGAAACCTGGAACGGGAACGTTATCAAAGATATTCAGATAAGTCTTCTTCTTAATTTGTAGCAGCCAAACATTGTGTTCAACATTCAATTGCTTTCCGTTGTTGTTTGTAACTGATGTAAAAATTTGTGCGGAGTCGAAGAAAGCTGGTAGCTGTGTTCTGATGTACACCCAACCAGCTGCCTCACATTTTGTCGTTAACTGCAATTAACAATGATATTACCTCTCACCAAATCAGCCAAAGAGAAAATTGAAATTATTAATTGCGATAATTGAATTAGAATTACCTTGAGCGGTTTGCCTTGAACCAAGCCATCGCTACTAACATTGCACATAGAAACATTGAGTGGATTTGTTCCATTTGAGCTATCGTAAACTAAAGTTGGAATTAAATCAAAAGACATTTCTGGGTCAACTATTAGGAAATCAACCAAGGAGTCGGAGTTTGGATGATCGAGTAACACGGTGTGAAGCAATTCATGGATGCTCACTTTTTCAAGTAGGGAAAGACGTGGATCGCCTTTTGAAAAAATTTCGTTTCATATTCGTTTAATTACATTTTAAAAAGAAATCAAAATAGTTGGACAGAGATTACTACATATTTGATAAATGAATAATATATAACACACCAAGGGGGTTTGTGTTCTGAAATGATGCTGAGTAATTTGAGAATGTTCCTGATAGAGAACAAGTCATTATCCATTGGGCAGACGTTGTCGACATGGGAGGAACATCTCCAAAGTTAACATTTAAAGAAGGAGACATGCTATTTCCAGCCATTTTAGCTCCAATGATTTTAAAATCTATCAAAAGACCTTTTTCATTATCTATAATCTTTGGTTGAGAAGATGTTATTTTTAAATTTGTGGCCGGACCATAACCTGAATTCGTTATAAGAATGCCTAGTACAAACGGCACTGCGGGCTCCACCACGTCTGCAAATTTGAAATAATTTTTCAAAAAATATTGCAACACCTAATCAGACTAAGTTTTTATTTGATAATGTAGGGATATATCATTGATATGAATAGTAATTTAATAATTAATAACCTTTAGTAAATGGATCGTCGCTGTAGACGTATTTTTCCAAAAAATAATTTATGAAGAGGCGAGGATCTGGCTTGACTGTTATTGTGTCTGGAAATAAGGGAACCGTCAACCTTTGGTTATCTGCAATTGATTCAAAATAATTAGTTCAATATTTAGTCATAGCAAGGGATTTCAACGCATAAAATTTTTAAAAACATTTCCAAGCACCAACCGACTGTATAGTACAAAGTACCGCCAACGTTATACAAAACATCTGAGGTAGGCGCGGCTGTGGAGTATGGAATTATGAGCCAAGTTGCACTCCCAGATTTTCCTCTAGGTAATATTCCGCTTCCCGAAACATCTGTTATTACATCCAATGTTGGTTTTCCTGTTTGTTTTTTACATTATTAATTAGTAATTATTAAAAGTTTAAAAGTAGGAAAAAACTAATGCAAAACTAAATAATGAATAAATCTAAGTAAAAGATGTTTGACCTATGGCAAATTTGAACATAGCGTCAGTTGCGTCTCTGACTCCATATTGAGTTATTTTAAGATCTAGCTGGATGTCGGTTAGGTCGCTAGCTTCACCATTTTCCAAACGAAGTTCGGCTTCAAATCCAGTTCTTGTGAGAGTCATGCGTTGTTGGATCTGGATTCGTACTTTAGCACACACGCCATTGTCTGGATTCTAAGTTTTAAAGAAGTAGTATTTCTCAAATAAATTAATGTTTTCAAAATAAAAATTTGAACAAGCTTACTGATTCAGCTTGTTGATAAGTTTTATAAGCATCCATGTACCAGTCAGCAATGCTAGCTTTGTTATCCTGTTTCAAGTTTGGTTTTATCAATTTAAAAAATTATATTATTTTAATTTTTATAACCTTTTTAGCCTTTTCTTCAAAAGATTTCAATTTTGTTTCACTTGCTTGAACTTTAGCCAAACTGATCAAGTTGTCACCCAGGCCTTCTCCTCCATTAGTCCAGTCGGTGAACGACGAATTGTATCTTAAAACTAATTTTCGAACCATATCCAACGTGGCATTACCAGGCAATGGACTGTTCAGGATGTTGTCAAATTCATTTTTAGTCACTATCGAACCACCTTCGCTTGTGTCCGCGAACGGTGGATCGAACACGTCAGAGAACCACCGTGCCGGAGTGTCAGAGAGGTAGAACCTAGCCATCAATATTTATTAAAGGATTTTTTTGATTTCTACAAATAGATTCACTGATCAAAAAAGATCTTTAATAACTGACCAGTCATCATCTCCTAGGTAAGTACTCGCCAGCACGTAGTATTCATACACCGCTATTGCTCTATCCCCCATCATCTTTTTCATGTCTTCTCGACTCAAAACAGTACTTCTCTTCTTCCGATTTGAACTTCCAGAAAATGGAACATTTGAATATTGACAGTTTTCAATGATCTTGTAACACCTGTCAAGAGAAGTTTCTTATAAAGCAGCGAACAGTTATTCACTTTTATTTAGATGGTGAAATTGAAATAGTACTGCTTGATCAGATGTGCTTATTAAATTTTGAAGATTGGTAACCTCTGTACTATCTGTATTCGCACGAAACAATCCACTATACAAGACGGTTTTCTCATTATGTAGGAGTTTTCATATTTGTTAGCGCAAGTAACCGAAGTTTCAAATTCAACCCAGCATTCTTCAGGATAGTTTGATTCGCACTTGCAATACACGGGAAAATTTATGGTGCATATCGGTGGGTCTATTATTACTTTTATTGGGAATAAATTTAAATTTCAAATTATTTGTTAGTAAATATAAAACTGTTTTAATTTTAATGAGATTTTAGCAGATAGAAAAATTTAATAAAAAAAATAAGTCGTCACATTTTTTTTACTTTTGAAAACTCGTAAAAAAGTTTTAGCAACGCCATCAAACTAACAATTTAATTTTCATGAAAATCAATTTTTTTTAAATAAACGGAAATATCTAAAATATGAAAACTATTGCAAACGTACCATCCCACCAGTCATCGATCGTAGGCCGATTTATATCGATGCCATCACCGCCGCCACCACCACCATCGTCACCATCGTCACCATCGTTACCATCACATGTTGTCGCGTAGTCAATTGTAATCACAAGTGCGCTGTAGTAATTCACGTTACATACGTAGTAATAAACTCCTACTATCGTCAGGCTGAGACAACCTCTGTTTTCATTATTTTGTTGAAATTTGAAATAATTTTTTTTAATTATTTATAAGTAGTGTCAGCGATCTATAAAATTATTCATACGTACAAAACACTTCTTTTATTCAGACCCTTTTGAGCGATACTCGAGTTCATATGTTTTAATTTTTTAACTTCATCTGTTTGAACTTCAACCGCGGCGTAGATGGTCGTATTAGCTGGAATATCTCCTATGTCTCTGTTACTCTTTGAAAACGAGATCAAAAAAGTAATAATTTAAACAAATGACAAATAATTTGAGTTTTGCTTAAAATTTGTATGGAGTGTACAGTGAACAAGTATAGTTAGAGCTACAATGAACAACCATAGTTAGAGTGAGGAAGGGGTGGGAGTTGGCGGCTGGTAACGTGAGTTGATATCCTCTAGCAGCAATCAACCCGTAGTTGGTTATTTTCAATTGCAAACTTGTTATAATCCCTCTCTCCAGAAGATCCAGATCAAAATGGACTGGCTCCATGATGACCACCGGGATGGGCACGTTTGTTGTGAAGTCCGCTTCCAGGACGATGTCGTATCTGTCTTCTAGAGGAACTGGCTTCACTGCCCAACTGTTTTATATTCAAATTTATTTTTAGTTTTCTCAATTTGTATTTTCATTATTCAATCTGTAGTCATACACTCAAAATAACGACCTAAATTTATTTTCATGAGACAAAATTAGTTGAATGCGTTATAAGTTTCTATATAATTATATAAATGTAAAACCTGTAAGACACGGCAACTCTTTGCAGGAAAACTGTTAAAAGATTTTGACCTTGGGTGGCGAATATGACACGAGTGTTTGGAAGATGTTTATTAGCTGATGTGTCAAGAGTGTAATAATCTTCCAGGATGTCCAGGAACGTTACAACGCCTTTAATATTAAAAAAAAAATCAAACTTTTCAACTCATCACAACAATAGCTAACAAAACATTTAATGTATAAGACAATAAATAATAATACCAGTGGAATCTGTAGTTTGTTGAACGGTCAATCCGGTATATTTTGACGTTAATGATACTTTGGCGCCGGCTAAAAGTGGCTTCTCATCAGAAAAGTATGTGTACTCGTCTTCAACTTTCACAGTCAAATTCAAATGATCGGACGACGCAATGATGAACCTTAACGAATAGCAATTTTATCTCCACTTTAGTGCCTTGCAACATTTTAAGCTTGCTACTTCATTATAGATTTTAAATAAATAATTTCAAACGCAATTCACCTAAATCTGAAAATAACTGCAGTTTCCGTAGAAATTATTGTAACACTTCCCTGA